CCCCCTCCTCCTCCTTCTTCTTCTCTCTCTCCCTCTCTCTCTCTCCCTCTCTCTCTCTCTCTCTCCCTCTCTCTTGCCCTGATCTTATTTTGTTTTCCACAGTGCTGGGGATGGGACTGCAGCCTCCTGAACTCTAGGCATGCACTCTACACTGAGCTATACCTCTAGCCCTTTTTAGCTATTCTCTTAGTTAACCTAGCCAGCACACTTTTTTCCTGTCATTGCTCCTTTTTAAAAAATTAATTTTGATCAAAGTACTGTTTAAGAGATTTGAAAGTCAATCATTACTGCCAGGATTTCAATAACCACAATTAAAATAATAATCCCTTGACCACTCCCAGCTACTCCTAGACCAGAAGTGATCGCTATCAGCTGTATCTGTTTCTTCTCAATATTTATGTCCTTTATAGAGAATATGCTTATCCTGTTGTTCTTGGTTTACAGATTTTAGATACTGTCTTTTAGCTTCCTCCCATGGGAGTGACTGTGTAACACAGCTGAGAGAATGGACTCTGGAGGGAGTGACTAAGGCTGAAACCCTAGTTTCCAGTACTTAGTGATGTGGGGCCTTTACAAGCTGCTTCTCTGCTGCGGATCCGTTTCCTTGTCTGCAAGTGGATTCTAGTAGTATTTACCTCACAAGGTGATGTTGAGAATTAAAAGTTGAATATCTCATGATAATGTCTGCACACACTACACACTATAGAAACACTATTACTATCATCAGGTTGATCGGCATACACTTTTCCACCACTTGTCATTCCAAAATACCCAAATAACTATTTTTGGTTAAACTAATATTAAATATTTACATTATGACAATATAAATATTATGCCCAGGTAAGCCACATAGAAACCTATAATTATGTTTCCTTTCCCATTCAGCCTTTTGTTTTCCCTGGAATTAAGACTGTTCTGTTTTTGTGTTTTGTTTAGTTTGCTAGGTACCTGTTATTAATTCATCCATAAATTCTCCTGTCCATGCATTCAAATACATGTATGCTCTTGGTATTGTTATTTCCCTTGGCAACCCTTCCTGGATCTTTTTAGGTCTCCTCTTCCCAGCTGGACAAGTTCCTCTGTAGCCTGATGAAAAGGACACTCCCTGAATAAAACATTCTGGGAGTCCCTTCAACATTATCTTGGCATTTATCTTTACTACTTTCTTGTTTTGGAGTCCTTGTTGCCTAAATTATATGCGTGATAGAAACTGTTGGTTATCCTTCCAAATCCATGTTTTCTTTCTTCCATTGTATTTCTTCTGTTCTATTAGAACGGTAACTAATATCTGGCCATCTAACCAAAGACTGTTTTCCAATTCACTCTTAAAGTTAAGGGTTACCACATGAGTGGTTTTTGCCAAATGAATGCAAGTGGAAGCAATGCATGCCATTTCCTGGCCTGCTCCACGAAAACCTCTACACTTTTTCCATCTGGTGAATTGGAACATGAAAATCTCTCCAATCAAACTGTGATCATACATGAAAGGATAATGTCTGAAGATAATCATTCTCAAACTTCACCAAGTAGTAGAGTCACACAGAAGTCTTATTAAAACACAGATTTCTGGGTTTCACCCCTCACATTCCTGATTCATTAGATCTGTGTTGGGACATGAAGATTTTCATTCCCATCAAGTTCCCCAAGTGACCTTGATGTTGCTAGCTTGGGAATTACACTGTAAGAACCACTGTCCTAAGAGTAGCATAAAAACCATGATAAAGGTCATTCAGTGTTCCTGGAATGACTAAGTGGAGCAGAGTTGCCCTGCTCTCTGGAATACAGTACTTATTCTAGGTTATATGAGGAAAAAACCTCCAAGTTTACATTTTCATTAACCACTTACTTATTTTGGGGGTTTCCAAATTATAGCCATCAAAATTGTTAATAATATTAAAAACAGAAAACAAGAGAGCAATTTTGTCTTCTCTTCCTTGAGATTAAGAAGGATAAAGTCAGAGGGGAATGGAACAGTCATGGCATGGTCAGAGAGCTCTGTAGGGATGGGACACAGGCAGAATCCTGGGCCCTTGCCTGCTACCCATTAAAAGCATGATTTGTGTTTTCTCCTGGGACAGCCAGGGACTTAAAAGCAATTTTTGCTATGAACCATAATTCTTCACTTGGTCCTACAGATGTCCAGTAGGAAACAAAAAGCAGAATAAAGTTTAACCTTCATTTTGTGTCCTTTGTAACTATAAATCTTGGGTCAGATCTCTTCTCTGTTCTGCATAGGAATATGTTGATCATTTAGGGAGTGTCTATCTAGGAGCTGGCCAGACAGGGTTGATTAGCCCTGAGTTTACATGATCTCATCCCCCTTCAGACTGAGGATACCAAGATAAAAGGTTTACCAGGACAATCAGCTACACCCAGAAGGCTTCACCCACTGTCCTAAACCTGTGATCACCTGGATTCCAGGAAAGGTGGAGCCCCACATGACTAAGATCACCACAGAGACAGTTCTTTTCTGGGAATAAAACTATCTTTCAGCCATAAAGATTCCAGAACTGTGATACCAGGACTAAGGTAATGGTCAACTGGATCCCAGTCCACCAGCTAATCCTTGAAAGCTGGCCTTCCACTTTGTGGGAGGACCAGTCTGAACCCCTGCTGTATGAGAGAATGGCCCTTCCAGCTACCTAAACTTTCCATCTTCCCAGTCACTTTCCAATTACAGTGGTACCTCAGTTCATGAAGTTAATTTTTTCCACGATTCTGGTCACAAACCAAATTGGATGACAACCAAATCAAATTCAGTGGTTAGGTTCAATGCTGACCTTATGGGGAAATTTGATTCCATTCTAGTCCAATTCAGTTTGCACCCCGAATCATGGAAAGAATGAAGTTTGTAGCTCAGCCCACTTTCCACCAGGAGACCGAGCCCGTGAGGACCCCTGGGCTTGCCCACCAGCCTCCAGCTTGGCCCTTCGGGTGGGCACAGCGGGCACAGGCTGAGTGAGCGCTGCTCAGTCCAGCTCACTCTGCCCACTTTTGACCAGGAGACCGAGCCAGTGAGGACCCCTGGACTTGCCCAGCAACCTCCAGCTTGGCCGCGTGGGCACCTGCAACAACAGCCCCCACCCCCACTCCGCCTCTTGGCTGTACAGCTACTTGGATCCACACTACAGAGGCACAGGAGAGCATAAAGCCCATTGTCCTGAGCTGCAGAAGTGAACAACAGAGAGAGGGCCTCTCTCAGGCTCCCTGAAGAAAACTGAAGCCCACTGGAAAAGTGAAGAGAATCTCTGCAATAAAGGCACACCAGACCACTGTGAGTTGGAGGGATCATCACCTCCCATCGGAACCTGGACTATCTTCAGGGGAAAGGTAGCTGGAACCTGCAGTAGAACCTTGCAGAGTTCAACCCTGCAGGAGGACAGGGAGCTCAACTTGGGACTTGCGCCAGAAATCTGCCTGAATCTCTTGGGTTTGCGACTGGCTTGCTGAGACTCATTGACTTATATCTGCACATTGCTGCCCACGTTGTCTATTGTGATAACAGAGACATACCCTGAAGGAGGCCCTTCATTTTTATATTTTATTTGTTATTTTCAAAATTATCACTATTTTTTTTGCTCTTTTTAATTTTTTTTCTACTCTTTTCAAATTTTTATTTTTCACTTTTTTCTCTCTTTTCTCTTTTCTTTCTCTCTCTCTCCCTCCCTCCCTTTGGAAACTGGATAAAGAAGATGTGGTTTTTAAAAATAAAATGGAGTACTTCTCAGCCATAAAGAATGAGAAACTAGAGACATTTATAGCTAAATGAATGCATATTGAGGCCATACTCTTAAGTGAAATAAATAGGACACACATATGTAAATACCGAATAGTTTCTCTAGTGTGAGAAACTGAAAGCATAAATAAGTATTAAAATGATTAAAATGAATAATTGATGATTTGAAATAGGAAAAGGTCCAAAGGTGTAGGGGTGGTGGGAGGAGAAGGGGAAGAAAGAAGGGGAAGGAAAAATTATGAGAAAAGAAAAAAAATGGAAATGAAATCTATGTAAATATGGAAAGGTGGAGGGGGTGAAGGGTGCACAGGTAATGGGGAAAAATATAAGAATCAAGATGCATCATGTACAGGTACAAGCACCCAATGATAAATGTCAACGTATTGTATACCTAAAATGTACCAATAAAAGAATTAAAAAAAAAATAATGAAGTTTGTGAACCGAGGTACCACTGTAAAACTTTTTCTGTAAAATAAATAATAAATAAATAACAGTAGTCAACTTTCCCCTCCCCATTTCTTCTTTTCTTATGCCCTTGTTTTACCAAAGCACATTTATTAGTAGCTTTCTGGGAAAAGAAGATAGTTCCTTGAGACTTTGAACTCTGTTTATCATTTGGTACCCTTGACTGGTAGTTGGGCTGGATATAGAATGCTGGGTTACAATCTAATTTCACTTGGTATTTCTACATTGTCTTCATTTGACATCAGAATTCTTCATGTTTTGTAAAGTGATTTGTATTTTTATTTTTAAATTTCTTCTTAAGAACTTTGTGATCCTTTTATTCCTGGTAATAAGAGATTACAGAATGATGTATCTGGGCTGTGCCTTTTCTAATTCATTGTATTGTGTTTCACTCTACTTCAGTTCAGATCCAGTATTCTTCAGTAATATTCAATGATTTCCTCCCATCTGTTTCCTTGGTTCTCTCTTTCTAACATCTGTCTCAATTTTTTTATCTTCTACATCTATAACAATATTCCCTTTATACATCCTTTCTCTAATTTTATTATAATTTTTATACTTTTCTGAGAGATTTCCTCAGCCACCTCTCAAAGGAAAAGTTGATTTTTTTCCCCTCATGTATTTAATAACTCAGGGTATTTGTTTTGTTTTCTAATTTCTTAGTGTTCTGTTCTTTTTTTTTTTTTGGTACCAGGGATCGAACTTGGGTCCTTGCGCTTGCACAGCAGGCGGCAAAACCACTGAGCTAAATCCCTGGCCCTTAGTGTTCTATTCTTGCTTCATAAATGCAATATTTTTTCTTTTTTAAGATTTTCTCCTGTGATCTGCACAGTTTTTTCTGAATTCCTCTTTTGGGGTAGATTGGTTTCTCTGGATGTGTTTCATGTTAGGAGCTTTTCTCAAAAGTCTAGTGGTTTTTTATGCATGGAGTGGGGTACATTTTGTCAGTTGTTGGAATTCTCCATAGCTTATATAGGAGATGTTTCACTGAGGGACATTCTCCAGTCTTTTTTCGTGGACACATCAGTTGCTCATAAAAGGAACCCTCCAATCTCCTGTCTGGGTGCAGGAACAGGTATTCTGGGAAGGTGTATGAGCCTGGTTGCCAGCATTATAGGAATCAAGCTGAGGAAGGAGGGTTGAGTCTCACCTGTCACTAGGTGTGCCAACTGTGTGTGTAAATATGCTCTGTCAATAAGGTGGCTCATCCTACCTATGTCAGTGCCTCCCATTCCTGACCCAGAGCCTGTCTGTGAAGTCTCTCCAGAGGCCATATTGTCTTCTTATTTGGAGCCAAGGAAGGGATCTGGAGGGTCCAGCTGCTTTTAAAGTCAGTCATGGAGTTTAAGTCATGGCATGGATTTCGTTTCCTCTGATCCACTAAGTTTTTATTCATCTGGTTTGCTTTTCAGCTCTCAAAATTTTATCACATCTTTTTGCTGTTGCCATCTCCTATTCGAGTCTCCTTAACATCATGGGTTTATGCTTGTTTAGTTCCTTATTGTCATTTTAGTGGGTTTCAGTAGGGAAAAGAAATAAGAAACATCTGCCCATCTTTTCCTTGAAGCTTCAATCTCTTATAAATAAAAATGAAAACATGGAAGTATCTAAAGTGCTCAAATTACATTAGTAGTCATCTTCATGTGTTGTTGTCCCTGTGTTTATTCTTTTTAGGACATTTTAATTGCATTTCTTTTGACTCAGTGGGTCTAGTTCTAGGAATTCATCTTAAGGCAACAACCAATGATGTGTTCATGGAATTTCTACAAGGCTATTCTTCACTGGGTATTTTTACTACTAAGTACTAAGAACAATCCAGTGTCTAACAATAGGAGACTGGTTCAATACATTAGGGTACCTTCATGTAATGGCATATTCTGCAGCACTAAGACTGATGTTTTAGGAGCTCAGTGAAATGTAAAAATGTCCATAATACATTGTAAGTTTTCTAAAGACCATCAAAAATGTACAAAAGGTATACTCCTTTACCAAAAATGTGCCTGAATTATGTGTACATAAATAATATGACAGCAATTTATGTGTATATTTCAATACTTATCTAGTAACAATATTGAGCACCTATTACTTGCCTAATAATGTTAGGAGCCTCTTTTGTGGATTTAATATGATATCAATGCTGTTGTTATTTTCAGTTTTTACAAATGGAGAAACTGAGGCCCAGAGAAAGAACACCATTGTCCAAGGACACATAGAGCCATGATTCACACCCAGGTCTCCTAACCTCAAAGCCCATCTGCTTAGCCATAACTTCATATACCAAAATATTAGAAGGTTGGTGGTATTTCAAGTGACCTTTATTTTTTGTGTACATTTGGGGAGTGAAGAAATAGGATAGAAAGAATTTGGCCTTTGTTGCAGTGTTCTTTGCAAATAATCAGTGGAATGCTCCCGCTCCTCCACTTGTAAAATTTTGTTGTGGACATCTGGGAGTTAAACAGTTTGCCTCTAATATATGCTTAGGGAAGTGCTGTTTTTGTGCTCGTCACAGATCATTAGATGATAAGTCATTTGAGGGTACAAGCTTCCTCAGATTTCATGAGAAACCAAACTGTGCAACCAGAAGTCAGAGCAATAAAAAGACAAAAAAGCTCAACTTCTTTTGAGCAAAATTCTTTCAACTAAAGTTCCAGATAGTTTGCTGTAGTGGCATTGGCCTTTCTCCCCTCAGCACTCCTCCTTCTGCTTGTGTTTTCTCATCACATCTAGTGGTTTACGAGCTCTCCGTAAAGGCCTTTGGCCTTTTGACTGTTGGCCCACACAGCAGTCTGAGAAACCAATGCTATTGCTGCTTCCCCTCCCTAAGATTTGCACTTGGAGCCTGCAGAGCTGGTCGGGCACCTTCCGTGCCACAGTTGAGGACAGGCGCTTCTAGGAATATTTGTGAGATGATTGTATCTGCCATTCCTTAGCAACCGCTATGGGTCTCAGATGAATCTGATTAAAGGTTCTTCCTGATTTATAGAGTCTGCCCCACCCCCAGCCCTGTTCTCTCCCTGTGTTGCTTGAGACAGATCATTAACATGCGGCAGGTGTTCAATATTGTTTTGCTATAAAACTAAATGGGCTTAAAGTGTCCCGAGAGAATGCATCCCTATATCAGAGTATTTGTGAAAGAGTAAAGATATTCTGGTTTGGCTCCAGTCCCATTTCTCCAAGCTCTACACATTAAAAACTGTTTTTGTTTTTTTTTTTTAATTTCTTTCCTTTTTAAAAAGATGTTCTCTCAGTAATGGTTGCCTCTGATTAATATCCTTGTGCTCTCTGAGACCCAGAAAGTGGTTTGGTTTTCCTAGGACACTTTAACAATAGTGTGATTTACAGAGCAATTCATTGGAGCTGGGGGCAATGTAATATAACAAAGCATTTTTCATAGGCTCTCTCCCTGTAGTTGCTACTAATGCTAAACCACTGATAGGAAAAGCTGAGGTGCAGGCAACACAAGAACCAAGGTAAATTCACTGAAAGCACAAAAGACCCAGGTTTCTAAAGGTCACTAGGAAAATGCAGACGAATGGTAGGCACCCATTAACCTTATATAAACCCAGCCAAGTGAAAAGCAGGCAGGAGTAGGGTGGGGCTCTCCTCCCCGATTCCAACCTGAGATATTGGTGTTGCTGCTTAGCCTGTCAAACAGTGCAGTTGATTGGCACCACGATTTCACTGGCACTGGACTGGCGACGTTTTCTCAAATCACTGGCTGTTGTCTCATCTAGTGCTAAGAAGCAGACTAGATCTGTGTGATTCACTGGTGTGTGCTGGCAAGTGGCCCTTTTGCTATTCTGCAGAGCAGACACACTTTCCATTTCAGAACCAGTTTGCAAATCATGGAGAGATTTAAAAGGAGGTTCTGCTTGTTAGGAACCATTCCCTCTTGGAGCGCCTGGCTGGCAGATAAC